GCTGGACAGGGCGTCCAGGGTAGGGCTGGGATAACCCTGAGCCATGGCAGGGGCTACGGCTCATAGGTGGGCTCAGTGACTCAGTACCACACTCTGCAGAAGTGTTATTCATAAGAAGATACCTTGTAAGTTGAGAAAACAGGTCCATGAAGAAGCAGTGCAGCTTGGCCTCTCATCTTTTTCTCAGTCTGGGACAGGAGAGAAAAGCCTTGGAGACCCTCCAGAGCCTCTCTAGCAAAGATTTGCCTCCAACCATTATGGTTTACTCCTTTTTCCTCTTTGTTCTCTGTGCCAGGTCTTCTGTGGTTCAGTTTTGAGCTTTTTGCTCAGATGCATATGGATAACCTGATGGGCTAGACTCAGTGAATCAGGTCTTTCCCCCAATCCATGGGTCCTTCACTCCCAACCTCCACAGTCATTTCTCTCATTCCCCCTCTATGTTTCCTTGTCCTATTCAATTACTTGCAGTCAGCCATGTAATGTCAATCAGCCCCATTAAGTCTCATGTGATAATTCACAAAAAAAGACAACTATTTTCCCTAAGACTCCCTGTGTTATCTTTTCCACACTCCTTTGTGACTCTTTTTTTGGGTATGAGTCCTTGCTAGTAATAAATTTACCAAAAGCCAGGAAGAAAGGACTGCAATTTTCAAGTTCTGCACAGGCAGAAGAGGTGAGAAGTTTCTGCATTTCTTCACTGCAGCACTGTCTCAAAGTGCAGCCTCATTGCTACCCCCAACTGTGAACTCAGTAGTCTCAGTACCTCAACTGGTACCTTTAAGCTTGACTCATTTGAGTCTGGAAGTGATGCTGACACCGTAGCTAGCAAAGCAAGAAGGATAGAACAAACCTGTGTGGCCAGCCCAAGCATGCCATGCAGCCCAGGTGCTGTGCTTGGCCACCCACTCTCACCAAGGCTGGGCAAGAAGAAGGGTCAAAGCCGACCCTTTTCAAGAAGGGTTGACTCCAAATTAGCTAATTTGATAATTTGTGAAGATGAATCATAAACAGAAGAGATGGAAGACAGTGGATCAAAATGAGTTACACAAAATTAAGTAAACAGTATCATCTGCAAACATAATTTAATTTATAGTTTTGTAATACTGAAACAATATTCTATAAATCTCAACAATGAATACTGGAATTTAGGTACGACCTGGGGATGAAGGATTTCCCAGCACAGTCTGCTTCTATCAAATACAAAGTTAAGCAGATTTGCTTTAATTTCAGGCAAACAAGTGGTCCTGCTGCAGAGGTTTGCCATCCCACAAGACGTAAAGCACTGAGGAGAAAATGCTTTCAGAATAGACAGGGGTGGATATTAGGATTTGGATGTAAAGGGGTCCGTAAGAAGAACCCCTTCCACTCCACATATAAGTAAGACCTCTTAAATCTGTCCTAGAGCAAAGCGTAGCTCATTTGAGTAGATGTTATGTAGAAACCTGAACAATGTTGTAATTACGATCACTCCATGACGCTGGTTTTGTCTTTTTTACACATAATTGCCTGTGGTGGAAACCCAGGTGGATGAGTCTGACCGCTTGCATGTTAATGTAACATAAAAAATCAACAAGGCCATTAGTAATACTTGGAAAGGTATGTGAAATGATTAATATTCTCCAACACATGGCCATTTTCCAGTAACTTTTGTGTATTCCTAGGAAAATAAGGCAAGTTCTAGGACCTACACTCATATGACTTTTGTGTATAAATACTGTTATCTGCCAGACTCTTCTCATGGAGAAGGACCGTGACCATGCACAGTAGTGTGACTAAACCCCATATTTATTACCTGTTGTGTGTAGTTGACGTAAGTATCAATGGTATATCATCCAAAAAATAACAGAAAATTTTGCTGGAGCTTCATGAAATCAATGTTGCTTGATTTATGTTTAAAATAATGGACTCTACAGAGGTCAATAGAGAGGTTCTCACTGACCTTTATAAGAGGAACATTTCCTGGGCTGTTTTCAGGGAAGCTTTTTAAAGCGTCGGTGGGGGAGTTCTCCCTTCTGTGGGTAGGACCAGTAGAGAGTCTTCAGGCATAAAGAGTTACAGCTCCTTTTAGGGTGAGACAGCAAACTAGCAAGGGGTCCCTGGGGACATTTTAGGTTTTGAAAGATCGATGAAGTGCTTTGCAGGAAAGGATTCCCCTTGTGCTGTACTTTTATATTCCTTTCTGTTATTTCACTGGAGGCCAGATAACAGGCTTAATCCTGTTTCCATTTAAATGAATGATGAAAAACTGCCACTGACTGCAGGGAGAGCAGGGATTGAGCTTGATGTGTTGCTTTATGTTACAGTAACAATTGGTTGTCATGCATTAAATATTGCTCCTGGGATCTACATCCACATTTCCATCATGGGGTTGTAGAGGGCTTATTTGCTGCAGTTTTTATTGGCAGCAAGGTCTGAAGGCAAATTTGCTGTATCCCCTGGAATCTGGATATGGCAATATGAATAACTCCAGGGTAAGGCCCCCATGGCTGTATAGTTAAGTGTGTTCTCTTTGCTGTAAGGATAATTTAATTAATTTTGACTAATTAAGGAGCCCATGGCAATTGTGTGTTCCAAAATTCATCTGACATGGGGACAACATTGGGTCCCAGACTTGCTGTGATGAAACCAGTGGCATGCTCTTGCTTACTTTAGTACAGGGAGGCTTGCAGTGGCCGGCAAGGCCTGAGGAGATGGACCCGATGTCACGCTGTCCGAGTGTGACTCTCCCAGGGACCATGTTTTCTGGGAGCCCGCAGGCTCACTGGGCAGGGGGTTGCTGTGGCCTCAGGCAGCTGATGCTTCCCTTGCCTCTGGAGCTGGAGGTGGCACAAGGCACCTGGTAGCACAGGCTGGTGGGCATCATTTGGCCACAGGACTACACTGGAGATTATTTTTATTCATTCTACTTCCACATGGCAAAGCTAACCCAGTGTACATGCCTTTTAGCTGGTACATTTCTCTCCCATCTGTGAATCCGAGGCAGAGTGAGCATCCCCAGGCAGGTCTAGAGGATGCAGGCAATGCCGCTGCCTCTTGCACCATTTGGAGGATTAGGCAGGCTGGAGCGAGCTCAAATCCCTCAGCTGCTAGTGTCAGATATGGAGAAGCTGCCACGAGACATTAGCTTACCTTAAAAAAAGGGATGGAGAGGTATTTGCTGGGTAAGTGCATCAGCAAAACACAACTGTTTCTGGGTATCTTGCATAACAAAGCAACAGCAACTAGTGGATCAGCTTGATTTTAAAAATTCTGAAGAATATAAATAAAATCATGTTTAGTCTTTCTGATCTGAATATATTGCTCCAGTAACAATCTAGCTGTTTTCTTGCGACATAATAAAAATACACTTTATTCTGAATTTTCTTACCTTGCTTTTCATGGACGTGTCTGCAGCATTGTTGCTCCCTCTGTAAATGCTGTGAAGTTTTCAGGCTCTTGCCCACAGCCTGGAGGAGATTTGTGGGCTGCCTGGGGGCTGTAAAAAGTGACTGATAAAATAAGCCAGCATCAGTAGGCTCTAGTGTACAATAGGGGATGAATGTTTTTGAGACCCACAAATCAGAAAATACTGAAAATTGCTGCTGTAATCTATCCAGATATTCTTAATACTTACAGTAACGTGCTCCCTTTCATTTAAAAGATGACAGTGATGGGATCAGGTGGGTTTGCTTTGCAACAGTCGGTATAATTTACAAGTGGTATAAGTTGGTGCTGTGGCAGTGGGGGGATATGGTTTAGCACCACCCAGGAGCTTCTCGTGTATTTGTGTGCAAGTGAGGCATTACTGAGGCAAAATCAAAGAAAAGAAGTATATGCAAGAGAAAAAATGAAAGGATTTGTGTGCAAAGTGGATTACCACTTGACATTTCATTGCCAAAAATTATTTAATATGGCTTGAGCTAAGGAAGGGAGGTATATGTAAATATATAGAGGTCTAAAGTAAATAGGACATTCATGAACTTAAGACCTTCACAGGACATAATTCCTAACATTTTTATGTAGGCCTAACATGCACTATTTGCTCGTTGGATATCCCTGTTGTTACATTTGAAGATCTCATACCTCCAAAATTTGGAGGATTCTTTTTTTTTCTTCATATAAGGAAATCTTATTTCCCCTGGTATAAGAAAAGTGGCTGGGAAGTCAGGAGAGTGGGAATGGAAGTCCTGATCAGTATTGACATGTCACCTCAACAGTATTTGCCAGGGGCATTTCTTGCACATGAAAGATGTGTTTAGCATGAATTTAGTATATGCACATTAGTCACGAATATGCAAGCAAGAGGTAAAAAACTGATGAATTTCTGTGAATCTACGTGACAAAAATAGTTCTATATTAATGCTATAGAAAATTATGGCAGACATTTATGGATTCCCCTTTTTCACTTTCTTTGCAACTAGGATGAAGGAAATAAGAGTTCCTGTGTGTTTTGTACTGTGTATTCTTGGACTCCTAAGTGCGTCACTGGGTCTGGGTATTAGGCGTCAGCTGGATTAACATAATTGATTTCTTCAGTTTACCTAACGTGGCTTTTGGTTCAAGGTCTGCTTGCTTCCAGTTTTAAATGTGTAACTCAGCTGTGGATATCACATTTATTTTGCCAGTAAGCTGTAAAATATTGGTAAGTTTTCACACAAATGTGAAAGACTTCACTTGCCAGTAAGTACATAAAATAAATGGAGCATTCATACTCTTGGAGAGTTTTCATAACATTTGTGTGATACAAGTTATTCCTTGGGGCCTAATAATTTTATATCAAATAGATTATCAGTTCAAAACGGCAGCATACTGGATGTTTTTTTAAGTCTATGAACACATACATGCCAGCTTTAATTTAACCGGCAGATTGCATTCAAAGGATTAGCAGATCTCTTACAAGACATATGTTGTAAGTAGTTCTGATAATTTCTGTTGTCTTTTTTTCCTTTAGATATTTTCAGTAGTATGCAGCAAATTCACTGGGGTTTTTTTCTTAATTTTGGGGTTTTTTTGCTTTTCAGTGAACAGAGTATTTGCCAAGCCCGGGCTTCAGTTATGGTCTATGACGATACCAGTAAGAAATGGGTGCCAATCAAACCTGGACAGCAGGGATTCAGCAGAATCAACATATACCACAACACGGCCACTAACACCTTCAGGGTAGTTGGAGTTAAACTGCAAGATCAACAAGTGAGTAACTGTATTGAGTTTCCTGTAAATTAAACTTTGATCTCTTTTGATACCATCAGTTCTATACTTAATGCAGTACAGCAACATTTCCTGCTCCCTGCAAGGTACCTGCTTACTCCAGTCATTCTGATTTTGTATAATTTTTCTATGCACAGAATGTATCATAATTTAGTGCTTATTTGCAAACAGAACTTTTGGTAAATACAGAGAGATTTTGATGCTGTTCTTCCCCCTCCATTTTTGCTTGTGAAATGAATCTTACTTTGTTCTGCAGGTTTTGCTCTCAGCTCTGCCTAACTTACATTTTGCTTGTTATTAATACAATATATAAAAAAGAAAAAGAAATAAATCGTTCTGCTCTGACATTTTACAAAGTATGACTGTTAAATTGCTGTGATAAGTAAGTAGTTCCTCATAATGCATTTTCGATTCCTAGGTGCACACTGTGATCTGATTTGCCTAAGTCCGCCGGAACTCCTTGGATATTATGGGGGTTCTATGGGATTTAGATTATCAAAACTGAGATCAGACCCCCATTGGCCACCAAAGCACAGTGCTCAGTCCAGGACTGCCATGGCGTGGCTCTGGGCAGCCTGGGTCATGGGTGCACCAGGAGATGCATGTCATCAGAAGCTCCATTACCAAATGTCATGTTTAGACCCTAAAATAACAAAAATTTACTTGGGTGGAGTAGCAGTGCCATACCATAGTGCCATTTGCATTTTAGAGCAAAAATTTCAGCATCAGGAACTCCCTCTGTGTGTTGGTGTGAGGCCGGTATGGCAGCGACAGCTCAGCCTGCCCAGGCTACCCGCCTCCCACACTCACCTTGAGCCCTCAAACTGGCAGAAGACTCAGGAAAAAGTGGGTGATTGATTTTCTTTTGGTTCAGAGAGTGGTGTTGCCTCCTGGGAGGATGTGATGAGCACCACAGCCAGTGTGAGATGAGCAAGGGCCGGGCAAGCCAAGCCAAGCCAAGCCAAGCCAGAAAGCAGGAGCCAGGGCACCACCACCTCTCAGCTGCACAAATGTTGAATTGAGTGATCAGCTCATGGAAATGTAGATGATGTCCCTCAGCTGTCAGCTGTAATGATGCTTGGGCACAACTGGAAAAGTTAGTCAGGTTGCTTACTGGAAGTGTTAATGATTTTGTTACACCGTCCATATACACAGTCATCATTCTGAAGAAGAAAAAGCAGAATAAAAATAGGTGGGGCTTTTGAGCACACTGGTTTTCAGCAACTTGCAGTGCATTTTTGAAACACCTGCCATATCTTTTGTCTCCAGTTTTATCCTTCTCAGTAGAGCAAAGGCAATGTATTAATGTAGCTCCATTTCAAAAACAGAAAATATTTTCAAAAATAAATGAAATAAACTGACTTCTTAGTCAGCTGTGAAAGCCAGTACTGTTTTGTAACAAGCCATGCTAGTTGTTTATTTTACATAGCCGGCAGGTGAATATAAATTATTTTCATGTGACTGCAATCTAAAATGGGTCTGAATAGCTGGTGTAAAACAAGCAAAAGTCATAAAGTCTACATGTAAAGAGAGAGTATGTACCAGAGGTCTGTCTTAATTGGAGTATACAGCTTAAAGAGTAAGGTATATTCTATTTGCTTGCAAATGTTCCTACTTATGAACAGGCTGCATACCATCTAAAAATCATCTCAATTCAGAAGGAAACAGATAGAAGATTATATTTTTCTAGAGTTTAAAGATTAAAAATCCTCCCTCAAACAAACAAGTACACATTACCTTAGTCACTTAAAGCTCTCTAAAAGAAAGTATTCACCTTAAATATGATTACAAAACTCTAGTATTATGTATAAAATAAATTCAAGGCAGCGTAGCATAGTAGTATTTTAAAAAGCGTTCTGAAAGTCTCAAGATTCACAATTTAATATATTTGATATGAATCTCACATGGAATTGTAAACTTGCTAGTCTTGCTAAGTATTTGCACTTAATGAGAACAAAAATGAATTTCAGTTAAAATAATTCTCTGTACAAGCCATTTCATGCTTGCTCTCAGGCTATGCTAAATCACACTGAAATTGAGGTTTTAGTAAAAGCTGTTGCTTTGCAGGGAAAGCTATATTTTTCTGAAAAGGACTGATCTTCAGCTAATATGTGATTTGGCATATAATGAAGCTAATGAACCTACACAGATTTCCAAGAGTTGAGAAACTAGTTTAAAATAATGTAACACAACAATACCATGGAGGAACAATTTTTATTACATACTGTTTGGCAAGGTGCAGACTAGAGTAATTGTCATGACTTCACCTGTCTGCCTTTAATGTTTCCCGTTTAATTTTTGTTGGTTTATATTACACTTCTCATAATCTAATTTTCATCCTCTTTGGTTTTTGTTGTTTTGGTTTGTTTTGGTTTGGTTTTTTTTTCATATCTTCTTCTGTAGACTCTTTGTTCTTCGTCTAGCTGCCTTTCTGTTTTCTAGTCTTTTTTTGGTGCATGTGTTAGAGTTTATGATACTGTCTTCTCTCTCTGCTCACCTTATCTGTTATCTAGCTGACGGTGTCTAAAAAGCTCCCCTCACAGAAGTATGGCTTTTAGAGTGGCAGAACTTGAGTATCATTCTCACCACCAGGAAGTGGTCACCAGACCTCTATTTCTCCTATGTGTCTGGTGACGTGCTCATTGTGTGCTTGCATGCAGCAGCAGTGCTAAGTTACAGTTAAGTGGTACATGCGTTCCCCTTTCTGCTCTGCACAGACATGCCTATTTGCATAGACTCATGGTGGCATGAGTGGTAATCTTCAGAAAACCAGAAGTTGACTTTTGAAGCTTTGAAGTAGCCACAGTGGCCAGAACTGGTTTGAAGCTAAGGCGAGATTGGTATTAAAATAGCTTGATATCATGAGCTTTGATGTTTCCTTGCAACCTTCATTTTCTCAAAGCCCAACAGTTTCAAGCGAAGAGTTTTCCCCCGTGTTGCGACTTGCCAGCTGTTATTATAACCTAACCTGTTGTAAAGGTGAAGTGTGTCAGCTTCAGTCACCATGTAAGTTCACCAGGCTAAAAACATACAAGTGGTCCATCTTTATGGCTTAGCTGACAATCAGTGACTCCCCAGTTCAGAGTCCTGATGAACTGAGGGTTTAAAATCATTATTTTATATCAAGTGATTTCAGCCCATCATGATCTCATCACAGAAAGGCATGTGCTGAACAAATAGGCAGGGAGGAAGGTGCAGGTCAAAAGTGAATCATATCTCCAGAGGGTTTGGAGCTGATGTGGCTAAGAAGTGAATGTAAAAACAGAGCCTTGGGGAAGGTGGGATGTTTTACATTTGAGTCTAAGCCAAAACTGAAACAGGGGCAGCATTCTTGGGATATAAAGTAAACCACATTTTTTGAAAAATAAAGAACCAATTAATCACTGCTGTAACTCATTAGAAGTGGTCAGGTTTGGGCCTGCTTACAGAAATAAAGAATCTGTCCTCAACTGCACCAGTTCTTAGCTGCTACACCATATCCTCCCTGTTTTAGCAATCATATGACTGCTCCCCATGAGAGGAGTCTGAGTAATGGCAGTGTGGCAGATGCCACGCTGATAACAAACTTCTGAACTGTTTCATACTCTAGAGAGACAAGCAGATGTCTTGTTCTGGTTCAGTAAGCAAAAGTATGGGCAGTAAGACTTGTGTGGGAGCTCATCCCATGATCTTGGTTGTGGTTACACCTCAGATGTGGTCCTGAGATCCTCTTGATCCCTTCTAGCCCCATTCCTGTGAGTCCTGTCAACCACCACCATCATCGCTGCTGACAACTTACAACTCATCAGCCTACAGACTTCAGTCAAATGGAAGGGAAGGGAAGGGCTGTTTGCTTTTAGTCTACTAAAAATCTACTATCTTTTTAGTAGATCCCAAAATTTCCTACCTGCCACAGAGAGACTACACATGAAACTGAGATGAAAGAGTGAAGGAGAGTACCAGGTAGAACTGAAGCAAATTTTTTTTAACTTTATAGTTATGAGAACATTGAAAGGTGTCAACATATTAATACTATCCACAAATGATCTGTGTAACTCCTTGCCATACAAGATCATTGAAATCCAAACTTTAACAGGGTTCAAAACAACACAGACATTTATATCAGTAACATGTCTACTTTGTTTCAGGATAGAAAATACTAAAAGATGTTGGAAAAGAAAAAATAGAAACATAAAATACCATGTTTCAGCTTTAAAAACAAACTCTGGATGAAGAATTATAGGAAGAATTGTTTCTTATGGACAAATCCATTACTTATTGCTGCAAAACTTTCAGTAAGTTTCTCCAGTTCACCTATTGTAGACTACAACTGAAGATTAAAAGATTAACTGTTGGTCTGCTCAGCAAGGTGGATGCTATCTTACTGACATAGGAAGCTTTAGAGTAAAGATCCCTTAGAAAAATGTAAAAAACCCCCAACCTATGCTCCAAACAGGGAGACCTTCTTTATTTTTGTTAGTGCTCTGAAGCACTTGGTTATCATTACATGCCTTGCAGGGTCTCCAGACCATCTGTACAAGATACCTTTGTGCACGCATTCTTAACAGTAGGAGAACACCTCCTCTTCTTTTTTCTAGAAACCTTAGCCAAAGGAGATAAAACGAAACTGACTATGTTTCATTTCCCAGTTTTAAACTCTCTGTTTTAAGTTTAAAGACAGGGTATTACATCCTGATGATTACTGAATGTCAACATTCAAACTCTGTCTTTATTCAGCTGAAGGGATCAAGCCCTCAGAACAGAGTGGGTTCTCTGAGTTCCTTGGGTCAGTGTTCTGGGAAAGCAAATTTTGAACTGCTTACCTGACTTCTATTAAACGATTTTTGGCAAAGGTTTTTACAATTTCTGTCTTTCATTATACAACTGCACTACACCCTCTGGTGCTTTTTGGACTTCAATAGCGCTGTACTTTAAAACAGAAGATTCTTTTAGTAGGTGAGAAATACTCACTTTGCAAAGCCTGGTAGAAGCTCACCAGTTTGTTAGTTTCTAAACATTTCCTCAGAGATACTGTCTGTTCCTTCCCTTGGTTAAGCTACTCAGAAGTGGTTGGAAGACTTAAAAATTGATACCTGTTAAGACTGTTTAGTTAGTTGTCCAGGCATGAGTCTACTTGGTGCTCTAGAGACTCAATGAGTATGAGCAACATCAGCACAGGCTCTCCCAATGCTCAGTGGTAGAATGGGGCTGATGTCACCATTTTTCTAGAGAAAGGGGCTATCTAAGGTGTCAGCTATAAGAGTGAGTTCAAATCTTTGCTGTGACCGAGCAACAAAGTTTCCACAATGTTCTGGTTGGGGTGGGTGGCTTCCCATGCAGCATGCTGGTGATGCAGTTCCCATTTTCAGGGGACCAACTCTTGAGAGCCTGTGTACCAAATGTAGGCTGCCCTGCATCTCCCTTTGGATCACAGGTCAGGAATGTCTTTATGAAATGAGGCAAAAAAAGCAATGTAGGTCTGACTGCTGTCCAGTGCATTTACATAGAAAGTTAATAATGATGTTGGTTTGAGAGCAACACTTGGACCAGATACCTGATGTTCAATAACCATCAGGCTAATTTATGCCTAGGGCTAGACCAAGTATTCAAAGACTGTTTGCTATGTCACTGTTTAGTGCTGACTCAGGTAAGTAAATGCATTATAGAAATAGAGTATATATGTAATTATCTACTGGTGTAGTGGTTTCTTTGCTGGTTTCCATTTTTTTTTTTTTATATTAATGTAGTATAGTTATCAGACATCTATTAACTGTCTATATTAGTGAGACAGTGTCATCCTTCAGAAACAGGGATGTGTGAAAAACAATTTGCTCCTTATGTATTAGGTGCTCATCTAATGTTTTTCTGACAATTTAAATTGGCAATCCACTGAAAAGTCAACTCAGAGCTAGGAGTCATTTACCTTTGAAATTAGTTTTAAAACTCTGCTTTTATAATTTAGAAATCTAGCAAAAGTCCCGTTAATCTAATTAAATATGTTGGAGTTTGTAGATGCAGTAATAGTACTAACAGAAAACTTTCCAAAGTGCTGGTCAGTGAGACTGCAAAAAAGATGTATTGGTAGGTTTCCTGGTGTGTGGGATCCACCTCTAATAAGAAATACTGTGTACATCATTTATTCGTTACTTCCTCTCCATTCCCTTGTATTCAGTTGTTGTTGCTCCCATCTTACCAAGTCCCGTATGGTAACACTCGCACTAAGAGTGAGCTCCTGGACAGCATGCACCACGGTCCCTCTTCCTACTCCTGTACACCAGCGTCCAGCCCACCTAATTTACAGATGAGCCATACAAACTAGTTCAGTGGAGGATTTCCATTGATTGGCTTTCAAGGAGGACCAGAAATTGTGGGATTGTTCTGACTCTTGATAAAACTCCAGGCAATATAACTCCATTTGTAGAGGCAAACTTGAATATTCAAAACCAGATTTGCTATATTTGAATAATGAACTTTGGTCTTTCCCTGCTCATAATTTTAAGTTTCTCTGTCCCTGATTTCCTTCTGCCCTCAGCCTGTGTGGGCTCATTAAGATGAAGTCTCCATTCCCTACTCCTCTGTTTTTAACTGCACTGTGACTGTTTATGAGAATAATTATGATCCCTTCTGTTGGCCTTTTGTTTCTTATATTTGTGTCACAATGAATTGCCATTGTCAGTCCACAGATGGGTATCTCAGGGGTGCCGTCTGTGCCATGGGTCCTTCTGGTGTATTAGTGGTGCATGGGCACTCCTGCCTCTTCACCTTCAGCTAGAGCAACTTACGCTTTTAACGTTGGAGGTTTCTAGTCAGATCCCAGGTGTACTGTGTCCCACGTGCCCTGCCCAAGAATAAACAGGGCATTGTATTTAGCAGATTAAATAAAACCATACAGAAATACCCTTCTGCTGCAGTCACCCCTTACCTGGAAATTATAGCATGTACACCAAGGGAGGAGGTGGAAGAGGAGATATTTGGTTGTCTGCTTTTGTCGTTGCCTGTCTGATTCTAGAGAGAAAACTCTTTCAACATAAGAAGCTGGTGGTGATCAGGTGCATGGGGGGAGAAAGGAGAGCCAGTGTAATGAGTGAAACAGTTATCTGCTGTAGGGCAGAGTTAGTGCCAAGAGCTCTCTCTGGCTTTTTTTCTGACAACTCTGCATGATCATCCCCCAAAAGATGGTAACAGCTGCTGGCACTGGCTCCTGACATCTGTCTGCAGTATCTGCACAGCTGTATCCTGAGGAGATGCTGTAGAAAACACAAACAGGTAATAGAATTTGCAAAACTAGCTTGCAAGTACTTGGGGCTGAATTGAACTGTTGTAAATTTTGCCCCCAGATGTGGGTCTTCTGTCATCGAGACACACACTGCCTTTACCATACAGCCATGTAGGAGCTGCCGTATGAATTGCCTTTATGAATTTAATTAACCTTTACCAAAGGGTTAGGTTTTTTCTCCACTGAAAACAGAACTAATTTTAATCTTCACCCCTCTCTTTCATATCACAGGTAGTGATTAATTACTCAATTGTGAAAGGACTGAAGTACAATCAAGCAACACCTACCTTTCATCAATGGCGCGATGCACGGCAGGTCTATGGCTTGAATTTTGCAAGCAAAGAAGAGGCTACCACGTTCTCCAATGCAATGCTGTTTGCTCTAAATATCATGAACTCACAAGATGGAGGTAAATTAGCAGTCACCACGCTCTTTATGAATCTGTGACCTTTTACAATGCTTGTTCTCTATCACCTAGTGCAGCAGTATTGGATAGCATGCCACTATACAAACCGTTATAATAAAAAAGGTTAGTTTCTAGTAGACAGACTTTTACAACAGCATTTGCTGTGGTATGAACTGTACATATTTTCAGGTTTCATTTGCCTGTCTTCTAATTTTTCATGGTGCCTTAACTCACAATAGGAAGTCAGTGGTTATTTGGAAAAGCCTCAGCCGGTAGGTAGCCCCCTGATTTATAAGGATCTGTGTATGCGTTGTGTTACATGTAAGATGGCAGAATAGAACTTTAAATTAACAGAAGCTAGAGTAAAATTAGCAACATTTTATAAGGTAGAACTTGGAACTGGTATTTCCAGTGTGTTGGGCATCATCTATAACTTGGCTCTTGTGGGTTGGCTTTCCAAAAGAGGAGTGTGTGGCGTCTCGGTTGTTTCATAAGGTAAAATGCAAAGGCTTATATGCTGGACATTGACTGATGTTCTTCCTAAGTATTATATTGACTGCAGCTGAAGTTTGTGGTGAAGTTTACCATTCTGTGAAATTGTCATTACACTAGCTTGACGACAGCCCAAAATAAAGTCCTGGTTTCTCAATGGAAACCAGTTTCTGGTCTGTGGTATCTGCATGAAGTACTGCCCTCCTTACATGCCAGTGACCTCTCTGCAGCTCCTGGGCTGGGAACAGAAAGCAATCCTTGTGTGGTGGGTTTTTTCCTGCAAAATTCACACCACAGCCCTGTTTTCCTTTTGAAAACAGTGTTTGCTGGCAATGGACAGCAGCTTTCTAGAAAGAGATCGTCTCCTCACAATATTCAGTACACAAATAAGTCTTACTAAAAGGTCTATTTGTAATATAAAAGTTCATATTTTTTCTTTTGCTATTTCCGTTCATTCTGTTGAGCTGACAAATGCAAAAGACATGAAAAAATCAATAAATGTCTTAAATCATGAGCTATATTTAGAAATACTGAGGACTGAATTCTGCCTTCTTCAGCTTGAACTTTTTCAGCTGTAGTTGTGCCACAGCAGGAGACTTCAGGAGGAAATCTGGCCAACACTCACCAGACCTAAACTCATGCAGGTCAGAAGTACTCTTTGGCTGCTCATATGTGCTTCAACCCACTTAGCCCACCAGATGAGACTTCAAAATTTGGATACTTTTACTGTAGTCTTGATGTAGTGATTGGTTTAATGTCTGTGAGGAGTCTGCCTTTCTTAATTTTGGGGGTTTTATTTCCATCTCTCTCTTCCTATCAAAGGGAATGGGGTTTCTGCAGAACTCAGAGGTTGTTCCAGTGAGGTGCCTTGTGGAAACGAGTCTCAAGATAAGAATTTATTGCTCTGAGGCTAAAATGAAAGAAACTGTCTTAAGTGGATACTTTAACTGTTAGCTACTCCTAGAAAAGAAAAACAGGTATTTTTAAGAAAGTGGTTTTGAGTATTTGAAAAGGTTATTAGATTTCTGAGAAGTTTAGGAATATACAGCAAATAATAATTTGCATTTTGGGGGGTATTCTTTTATTAATTTACTTAGCATACCAAAGTGTGTTAGATGCTTTACAGACAAAAGAGCCAGAGCATGCTGAAGAGCTTGCAATTAATGTTTGTATCTGTCACATAGACAGACATGAATTGGGTCACAGATGAAAAAATTTCCTACTTCCTTTTCTAGAAAAAACAATGGGCTGGTAAACACTCAGTGTTCAACAACCCCTTTTCTCTCATACATGAAGTGTTAGAAATTTCCAAGATTGCCAGTTGTCCCATTCCTTGCAGTCGAGCTTGTCAAAAACTGAAATTTGGTTTAAAGGGAATTTCAGCATTTGTGTTTTTTTAAAAAACTCTGATTCTGTGAAACAAATTCCCAAAATATTAATTTTTAGCAAATTTTTTTATAACAAAATTTATTTCTGTACATATTTCTCTTTAAAATTTTATTAGCTAAACATTTATAATATAATATATTGAGAACTTTTATTTCATTTTAAGTTTCCCAGTTATTGAAATGATCTCACCATGCAAGTTGACAGCAAAAGTACATAATGGATACAAGTTCTAAAGTGTTTTTTCAGATCTGCTCTTCTAGGCTCATATAGCGCGTAAGCTTTTGTGGGCATGCATTAATGCAAACAGGAATTCACACAAACATTCTTATCCATATATCTTTTCAGGCACAGCCGCTGCCTGCATGCTCCATCCATTCTGCTGCCTGTATGCTGCGTTAAGGTTTACTTTTTCATATGGAAAAATCATTAGGAAAAAAATTTATTCTATCTACGCATCCATGTATTAAAGTTGCTCATGTGGTTATGCAGATGGATGACAGCTTTAAGGAGTGCTTTTGTACACACAGAACTGCTCACACACTAATAAAATCCTCAACTAAATCCAGATAGTTAAACAGAGGTTCCCTCTGGCACACTCATAGTACAGAATAGCCTTTCTATCTGCTAGCTTTACAGTTTGGGATATGTTATGAGCACTAATTGGGATGTGCCATTTCTAATGTTTAATTGTTTGGTGTATTCCCTGCTGAGACATTACTATGTTTAGGTACTACTAATCTTCCCATAGCTGGATACAGATTCTGGCTTCCATGACTGCTTCTCCCTTCATTCTATCGCCCACTTGCATCGACTAAAATTAATCATGGTAGACTACAGCAGATAATCTGAGACTGCATCATATCTTCAGCAGATGTGGAGTCAGAGTACTCCAATATTTGGAAAAATAACTAGTCTTGGTTGCAAATCAGTGGTGTGGGTTTTTGAATGGCGCACTAAACTGAATTAGTTTTAAAAAATTACAGCAGTCTGTGTTTTGGGGAGTTGGAAATAATTTTTAGGTAGTGCTGACTTTCAAATGAATGACTCACTTCAGATGAATATACAGTTATGAGCTAGTGTTGAGAATTACTATACTGTCCCACTTCTTCATGAGACAGACTACGATACCCGGGATCATTCACTGCATGCACTGATCTCTGTGCTGATTATGTGGGGCACTAGTGAAAACTAAATCAAGTGCTTAACCTGTGGTTAAATGGGCTGAATCAGATCCTACATCTAGCCTGTGTTAACCTGGGTTGAGTATCAAGATCATCCCTGGGGAGGGATTCTTCCAGGGAGTCTCATGTCCCAAAGTTAGGGAGAAGAGCCGTAGTCCAAACTTGCTGTCTAGTCATATTTCTGCAGCGGATGGATTCATACCCTTTCCCACAGGAGGGCTGGTTTTCTTCAGCACGGCCAAATTCTCAGTGCTGTGATGGGAGCCTCTCCCAGCACGCATCCTCAGGGTGGGGTAAAGCAAGCCTTGCAGTGCAGGCAGGAGCTGAACATAGCTCAGTCTTGTGCTTTGTAAGGATGTTAATGATCATGTTAGGTGTAATCTGAAATGAGATAAAATAAGACTAAAAAGAAAATAATAATACAAGTGTATACCATCCTTCCCTTAGAGTTTGTCAGTTGCCTCACTGAATCACAGTTGTTTACCTGTCACCTTGTTTATATGCCTAATTACTTTGATTTCCTTATACATCTCTTTCATCTGTTCTCCTTTACAATAAAAAATGAAGAGTTGGTGCTGAGCCAGCCTGCAAAATGAGAGCAAATGATAACATTGACTTGCTCATTACCAGTCTCTTCCTTACAGTTCTTTAATGGTGTCATTTAGTACGACCATTAGTATGACAAATGACTTCCCATTAAATTGTTTTTCTTTCATGGGTGTCCACTTTGTGAAGCCAGACTTTTTACTGGCGTAAGTTACCTGATGCAAGGAGTGTCACCAGCTTACCTTGTCACCTGCAGCCAGATTTCACTGGGGACAGAGCATCACCCTTTCTTGCCCAGGGATACTGCAGGGAAAGCATTTTGCACAGATCCTGCCCTCAGGCTGTTTGATGTTTGGTAAGCAGACAGGGTTCATGTGTTTCAGGGCTTATTGTTAAATCCTCTTAGATTTAACAAGGGCAATGACCGGTGGCAGCACGGCACAGTTATTGGAGCAGGACATAAGGTGAGGATATCAGTAAGCTAAAGCAGGCAAGTTCTTCTCTGGCATAATTTTGTAGGAAATCCGTGGTGCCTGTGATGAAGGTAACTTTCTGCAGGGCTTAGCGGAGCCTATACACTCAGCGCTTCTCCCAGTGAATCGTTACGTTTCCCTGGGAGAGGGAATGAGAATATTTTACCTCCTTTCTTGCTCCCCACATCGCTAGGGACAGGCAAAGGAATGGCTTCATTTCTTTCCTTCCTTATTTGCTCACTTCAGACACTGTCTTTGCTTCCCTGCTGGTCCCTGACAGCCCCTGCATGTTTCCATGCTGCAGAAGGAGGCAGTGGCTCAGCTTTGTGGTTTGGCATGACCAGCTCTGAGGGCATCTTGGGCTTCCATGGCTTCGAGACTTGGTACCTCTTGGAGAAGAATTGAGAGTCTGCTCAGAGTATGCAGTCTGCTGGTGAATGCTGCCTATGACACAGTGAATATAACATATTGTGGACTTGCTTTTCTTGATGTCTTTGCCCTGGGGACTTGAATAGTTATTGTTGACTTACAATGCAAGAAGATCATACTTCTAAATGTAAACACCACATGCTGGAAAGCCTTATGCAGAGGGCTATGTTGCAGAGTTAGCCATAGTTAAAGAGGTCAGCTGCCTTATCTGACTAAAATGGGAAAAGTTGGAGGAAAGCATGAAATAGCAGGGGACAGGTTTCAAGAAAATGACTAGTGATTTTTTTTTTTTCTTGTAAGAAAGACATTTTCTTGTTCTGAGTATAAGTGGCTTACAGACCACACGATATAGACGTGTAGGTCATAGAGGGTGCAGAGTTCATCCCCATGCCTTCCAAAACAGAGCTTCACAGACCCAGCTTTAACTCTGCAGGGAGGATGTTTTGGCAGTCAGAAGGATTCCTCCTCACTCTTCTTCTGATTAGCAGATCTG